AGTGCACACGTAACAATGAAAGTCGTTTCGCTTCTGAACCTTGCGACGACACAATCGAAAGTATGAATCACGGGCGAATGCCGGAGAGAAGCCGACCGGAGTGGCCACTATCGCTATCAAAGCTCGGGAGGAAAAGTCTACGGTCAATGGACGGACATGGTCAAAAGGATTCACTGCGTGGATCCCACACAGTCACAAACAAAAGTGCATGTTCACTCACGCAAGGCTAAAAGGGATAAGCCCAGCGATCACCATGGCATGTCTTTAAATGCCTCTGCACTGTCACAAACGGTAGGGGTCTTTGTCCATCAAACCCCATGCACAAATGCCCCTTAATTATCTTACTACACGTTTGCTCCATCTAAACAAACTCATAAGTGGTGCGACCACAAATCGGATAGAAGCTGTCAGAGTTGGGATGGCTAACCAGAATGCCCCGTCTGACGTTAACCACCAAGCCCATGCAATGGCACTTCGGCCTGCATGGTATTTCCCTACCAGGGCTACACAAAAGGAGTTCCAAGTCTCAAAAGCTCGGCTGCCAAACGTGCGGCTTGCAAATCGTCAACGATCGCAATTGCAAGTCTGTAGCCTACAGAGCATCCAACTAGAAAGACAATTGTGAGAACTAAGAACCCAGTCAGGACCCAGGGGAGATGAGAAATAATGACAGCAAGGGACTGGAACATAGCAGTCGCAAACGGCTTGCGAAAGGTGAAGCAAACATCAGCGGCCTCACGAAATCTCTGGACAAGTTCAGCTGGGTTTGTTCACGCCCCATATGCTTTCAGCACAGCTTTGACCAACTGTACATTGTCCCGCGGAGCAGGCCCCTCCACTAATTGTTTGGACTGGGTCACCCACTGTTTTCGCTCAAATTCAGCATGGTTCACGATGGCTTCGGTCAGTTTGTCCGTGGTCCATACCCCTTTTGGGACACGGCGTGTCATGCCCACTGACTGGAACAAACCATTCAGATCGGATGCTGCGACGACTTTGCCTTTGCTGCTAGAGCATTCATCGTCACTGCTGATGTCGGCCATCATTTTGCTGCGGGGGTTGCTACGGCTACGAGTCCTGCACGTAGGCATATGGCTCAAAGATTGGTCATCCCCAGCTTTGGCAAGCAGCATGCTTGCTTCTGCTTTGGCTCTTGCGGCCGCTGCTGCGAGCATGTCTGCCTTCTCTTGTTCTGCTTCTTCTTTGGCACGCTTGGCCTCTAAAGCGGCCATCTTTGCTTCTAGCTTCCCAACTCGGGCACCGAGAGGCTCCCAGCCACCAGGGCGGCCTTTCCCCGAGCCTTTGCCATTGGTAGCACCCATATTGAGACCAGGGAACGTCTACAAACTCAACCCCAAACTAGTTTTCGAGCCCGCAGTGCTAGATTAACACCAGGGAGGTGCTTAAGTCGGCTATAACATCTCTGGATGTGTTTCACAGAGTATCCCAAAGACTTGGCATACTTGGCAGAATCAATAACAGCGGAATATGCAGTAGTTTCATCATGGTAGTGTATCTGGGCAGTACGATGAGTTCTACTTGCAATCCACCACCAAAGTCTCTGTAAACTACCTTTGTCCATGTTGACAAAAACTGGCAAAGCATGCTTCGTCGCGGACTGGCTACACACCGGCTTTTGTGTGATACCTAAACCCTGCCTGTCAACCCTTACAATGAGATCGAGCCACTCAACCCTCGGGCTACGTCCTTCGACGTTCACCACCAAGGGAGCCGGATAGATGCAAGCGAGCATGTGTTGCAAGCAATTACCGCAAAAACTGCAGGACAGCACGATTACATCGTCAACGTATCTTCTGCCTATAGTTCGTTTGTGGAAAGCAGCACTGTCATATCCGAAGCCATGAGCTAAGCGTAGGCTACCGTCAGTCAACCATTTGGCTTCATGGTCAGCTAATAAGAGAGACGATGCGCATTTGGACGCAGCTCCCCCCATCGGGACCCCACAGCGTTGTTTAACAACCAGGTTACCTAGCAGAAAATATGCGTGGCAAACGTAGTAGGCAATGAACTGAACCATATGCCTGAAACTAACATAGAGGCCATGCTTCCGCCAAGGGTTGCCGCCCAGGTACCCTTTAACTCTAGGGCCAGGAAATATCGAGACACCGGCAACAAAGAGCTTCAATCTACAGAACTCGGCCAATCTAGCAGCAGCAACAACAACTGAGAAAGGTTCCACGTCTTTGAACAATTGCGAGATGTCGGCCACTATGCATTCAATGTCAGCCTTTTCAGCATGGCAACGCTTGCATGTCATGTCAGGACTAGCATGTTGTACGAGCTCTGAATGTATGCTATTTAACTCAGGCACAGCATCAGAAAGTTTCCACAACTCCCACGACGGTCTTCCACTTTGTTTTAATGCAATCTGCCACAGGCGAGACAGGGTCCGCAGTGGACGTTTCAAAGGGTCACGCGCATTTGATATGATTTCACGGAAATGTGCATGACTTTTACTACAAGAGAGCCCAGCTAAAGGCTGGAAACATTTCCGTTTCACGGTCAAGTACGCTCGGGCGATCCTAGAAACTTGCCAAGAAGACGCACTGCGCTGGAACATACACGGGACGAGGTCAAGATGTTTCAAGAATTGTTCATGAACCAGGTCCTGCGGTGTCCAGGACCACATCACCTCATAATGCTGTCTGTCAAGAATAAAGTTACAGTACAAAGCTTGCCAGTATGAATGGATGCGCCAACCCACCGCAGCCTTGGGGGACTTGTCTTGGGGAATGACAACACCAAACGGCTTCAGCTCAGAAAGTATTTGCCGCACGCATTGAGGCTTGCGTCTCTTACCAGGTGGGGCACCAGTGTGGATATGGTTCGCCATACTGCTAGCAAAGTCCACGTATGGCTCATGTGTGTGAAGAAACCTGCAGAATTCCATGAAATATGAGGAAGCCGAAGACCAAAAGCTTAAAAGAGGTCCAAGCAAAGGCCATTCTACCTCTAAGGAGAAACCACAGCGTCTGTTTCACAAGGCTCCCAAACTCCTGGTTTGGCAACTGGTCAACATTGACTTTGTCAAAATGTTCATGAACTGCGTGTGGATCAAAGCCGGCGTGCGTAAGCCACGTAGACAAGGCACTGCTCCAACGCTTTACAAGAGTCTTAGGCTGGCTTGGGCAAGTCAGCGCTAGATTTTGGTCGATGAAAGCCATGTCATGACCTAGGGTTCTGTTTTGCGACTCGTTCCTGTGCGTCGTGCATGCAACTTGGAAATCAAAGGTAGTAGCAGCATGCCTATGATTGAATATTCTGTTGTGTAGGACCTCAGACTTCCCTGCAACTATTCTGAGGTTCTGCCTCCACCATTTAGCATAGGCAGCTTCAACGCGACTGTTTTTACCAAGTTCTTCGCAAAGTGCTATGCACAGGGAGCGAATGCGCTGGGCTTCCATCTTCGAGGCTCCTAAAAGTGAGATCGAGCGTGGCGTCAGCGGAGGCATTCCTCGAGCACTAAGGGCAGAATTCAAGCGTTTGAGTGCAAAGGTTCGTCTAGAAAGGCTTTTTTATGTGGAAGCAGCAAGCCCAACATGTAGCAAAACGAGGGGGGTCATTTGCTTCCAGGGTATTGTTTGGCCTCTCGCGCCTGCTTTGGCGGCCCATAAATGGGCGTCACATGTGTCGAAAAGATGCGTGGGCTCCAGGTATCCCATCTTCTTCAGGTGTGACCACGGGTGAAGCTGCCAAGGCTTGTGTGTAGTGTGGGCAAGGTGTTCTTCATTTGTGCAAGTGTGCAAGGGCACATATCTCGCGAGCATTGCGGCTTCAACGTTGGGGTTCAACAGCTGGGCGCGGTGAATACAGGGGCGCAAGTGCAAAGGTGGTCGTTTGGTGCAAAACTCACCGGCTACATGAGGTCTAGGAGTGTCAGGTTTGCGTTTCCGCGGCACAGCAGGCACAGCATATGAGCGAAAAATGAACTGCTCCCTCATGTATGCAGCTTGCCTAGAACCGAAGAAAGCGATGAACACGTGAGTGCACCAAGGAGAATGCTTACGCCACAACCGGTACCTAGTCTCATGCCCATATTGTTGTCGAATTGTTAAAGCTTTGTGCTCATACCATCGCGCAGGAAATCCAAGGTTAGGATTCGACGTGCTATTGGAGTGCCTCCATCCCTTTTGTCGCATGGCACGGCAGTAGCCAGGGTAGAAATTGCGATGCGCGCGGCTAACACCAGCGATGTATAGTTGATTCCCAAATCATCGAAAACAACAGTGTCATTGACATGCCGGAAAAATCTACTGCATTTTGCCTTCCAGTTCTGCAAAGCCCAACGCGCTACATAGCCACCAGTGAGAAGAGCTTCTTGATACTTGGGTCGCAGAAAGCGGCTGTATACACCAAAATACTTTTTCCGTGTAGGGCTTGTATCAGCACTATCCATCAACATTATTTCACAAGCACAAGCCATGTCCAGGGCTGCAAGAGCTCGGGTTAGGTGGAAATTCGTTCGTCCCCAAGACAAATGCTTTGGGAACAGCCATTTGAGTCCAAGCAGCAGAGCAAACCGAAGTTCTCCCAAAGAATGTTCACGGAAGCAAGCTTCATCAATCAGGAAATCAGCCAGCTGTGTGATAGTAAAGTCTTCAAAACTGCAGAATCCGCTTCCAACGGCAAAGAGCGTGGCTTTCAAAATGTTCTGAACAGGGATTTCGGCAAAAGAAAAGGCTCCATGTGTCCATTCTGACCAGTTCAAAGAATTAGGCGGCACAAAGCCAAGCAGACATGAAATACGGACTCTCAAGGTCACGCTCAAAAGGCCAGAAACGTTTCTTGAAGAGGAAGTCATTGTAAAGCCCGAAACTCACCAAGAGTCCAACGGGCAAGTCGCAGCAAACATAATCAAGGTAGAAAACCTCGAACTCGACAAAAGTAGGCTAAGGACTCGAGCAAACCGAGTTGCTGATCCTCACTTTTTGGTATCTGAGTCTCACCCCACCAGCCCCTCAATATGTATGAAAAGAATGAATAAGTCAATACAAAGTATATCTCAGAAA